GGGGCTAAAATCTAAGGGGCTAACCATCGTAGACGGCATTGTAACTGTAGGGACGCTTTTCTGTATCAAGGAAATCGCATACGGCTTGCACGCGTGCTTTTTTAGGCGTGGAAAACTCTTTAGACATCGTTGTGAGGCTTTGTTGTGCGTGGGTTGGATTGAGGGCGGTGGAGTTGGTAGGAAAAAATTGATTTTGCGGTCTCAACGATTTTGTCATGGGGGTGCCTGAGTTGTGAGGGCTGGCCGGCTGGCTGGCGGGCGGATCGAAAAGCCTGGCGGTGTGAATGATCAATTGAATTTGGCCACCCGGCTCCCTCGCCGGCGGCGCGGACATCAGCAGAGCAAGGACCGAGGCATCGTCGCGTAGCCTTCCGCCTCTCTCATTGCAGACTGCACGGGTTGCCGTCCAGGATCAAACAGCCCATTTCAGCGCCCTTTCCCTCCATTGTTTTCCCGCTGGGTCAGCTGGATGTGCTGGGGCAGGGCAAAAATGTCTGAGGAATCACAAGATCTTCACGGCCGGGAAACGGACTAGTTTGGCTCGCCGGTCGTGCCATGACTGCTCTTGGTCAAGCCTCAAGTCCCAAATGGTCGCTGCCTTGTTCGGAGTGAGTGAGTGAGAGCTCGGCTTGCGACGGCGACAAAGGGCCTGCGCCCAGCCAAGCCCGCCACCGACGACTGCCCGCGACCCCCTGGGGCGGGCGGCGTTGATCCCTCTTCTAGCCCGACTCTGTTCGTTTGCAGCGGGTTTCCCTGTTGGAGGGATTTGCACACACACGCACGCACACACGTTCTCAGCGCCCAAGCATGTCCGGCGCCCTCCATGATCGTCGCCTCGCGTCACTGCATTTGCCTGACAAGACCGACAGTGTGCCTGCCTGCCGCCTGCTCCTGCTGCTGCTCTCAAACTGCATGCAAACAAGCGTGACCCTCCTCCCGGCCGACCTTACGATCACCAAGAGGAATGGCACCAAAGATCGCCCCAGCCGAGCTGCTCGATCCGATCTCTGATACGCTCCCCGAGCACTTACTGTCCCCCTTCCAGTGGGGTCACCCCGTCTTTTCTTTCTCCCGCTGTCTCATGCTTCGTCCATCCCCTATTGACGCCGCTGGGCAGACGCTCTCTGGGCATGTAGCGAACAAGGAGTGAAAAAAAAGAAGGTTTCTTGGGTTGGTCGTGGTGTGGGTGGCATTTCCAACCGTTCTTTTCGACGGTTTCTCAATCGCCAGACGGACACCGAAGGTTTCCGCCGGGGGGCGCGAATGGCATGCTATCCCAGACTAGGCGTTTTGTCTCTGGTCTTTTTGAGTTGTCGGCCCCAAAGTCTGTTTCCTGCTGCCCAGCACCCCACACACTTCGCTCTCGGGCGAGGAGATCTCCGCTATACCTCGTCTCTTCCTGCGAACCCGAGTCCCTAGACCTGGTCCCTTCCCCAGGGGATGGGTATGGAAGCACAGAGGGAACACCATGGGAAACTATGCCGTCCAAGGCTCTTCCATGCCATGCGGAGTGGTCTCAACGAGGCTTGTATCCTTGCGCTCAACCTGCTAGCCTCCCTAGTAATCTGCTCATGAGACAGGCGGTTCCATGAACCTTAGAAGGGATGATACGGGTTCGGGAAAACAAACATATCAAGGAAATAAAATAGCAAATAAAATAGCAAATAAAACAAGGTCACAGCAACGCAGCCTCGTCGAGCGGCTGCTCGGCAGGACTGCGAGTGAGGTCAGGGTCGTGGAAGCAGATCCTGGACACAAACACTAGCATCGGTATGGCGACTGTGCCCGGTCAATGTGCACAAGATAATCGGGGGAGAGCCGCCTACGTGACTCTGGGCCCAGCTGTTGGGAGTCACCAGAGCAGCAGAAAATTCCAGAGTCAGCGCCGAGCAGTGATTTGCCGTAGCAGCGGGAGGAGAAGCACCGGCCAACTCGCCACTCCAGACTCATCGCACTGCCAATGCACCTTTGCACATACACACACACATACTGTACACGCACACGCACGCACAGAGAGAGGCAGCACACACACAGAAGAGACAACCCCAACCAGAGGGCCCGTTTTTTTTTGCCTGTTGTCGGCCGGGTCGGGTGGCTCGTCATTCGCCAGGGGCCGGCCTGGGCAAGGGTGTGCAGGCAGCGCGCGAGCGCCAGGCCAGGTGCGGTGGCCCAGGGCTTCCTTCGGGGCGTCCACTCAGGCGCTGGCTTTGGGCTTGTGTGACTGCAGCGCAATATAACAGATGTCACAACGAAATCACTCGTCCACTGGCCTGGCGGGAGGGGGGCGTGAGTGTTGTTGTGTGTGTACTAACAGTATGTGTGAGAGGGGACGGGGGCGTGGTACGAGCATCACCGCACCATCCATACCGCTAAACGGGCTCCGTGCTAACGCCATCGAGCCACTGCATGCCCAAGACAGCCCCACTCCCATCCCCCATCAAAGCCCAGCGGCGCCTGCCCAATGATCCATGGCGATCCACCAGCCAGACCGGGGGCTGGTCCGCGCCTGGAAATAGTCGCACGCACAGTGCATACGGCGTCGCAGCGGCCTGGCCTGCCCATGCCTGTTCCGAGAGACACGGGCCACAGCTGCGTCTCTTTGCCAGCGCGCAGGCTTGGGTCTGCCATCCCCATCCTGCACACCACCCCACACGCGCACACCCCCCCTGCACTGCTCTCGTTTTTTTTCTTTCTCTTCTTCTCCACCCACCCCTCCCCTTCTCGCAGACGAGGCAAAGGTTTAGAGCAAACGGGGGTGTCCTGGCTCTCGGTTGCATTGGTGGACGCCTTGGGGACATGGGAGGGAACATGGGTCCCTCCAGACTTGCATCCCTTCGGCGGGCATCAGCCACTCAAACCCACGCAGGCTCTCCACCCACCCCTGTCCCTCTTCTGGCCTGGTGCCAAGTCGTATGGGGAGCGGCGAGCAGAGAGCGAGAGGAGCTCTGGGACTGGGCATCGAATATCATCACTTGCTTCCCCCTCCTTGATCTTCGGGATGCTTCATCTACACGCTCCCATCTTTTGTTTTTATTCCTTTTTTCCCACCACACTCCTTCCTCCTCCCCTACCTCTCTCCCCCATCCCTATCTCCAGGTTCAGGACCTCGTCGACCACCACGCTAGATCTTAGGACTTCGACCCGCCACCACATCCGCCATTCCCGCCCCATCCGACGACGACCTAGCCTACGCTCTCGCCTCGCGACACCGACTCGTTGACTCGAAGTCACTTTGTTGCGAACCGAGGGAAAAAAAAAGGGACCTGGTGATCTCCTAAGGCTTTTCACCACCAACGCGCATTCCTCAACATCCTCTCGACAGGATCCTTAATCTGCCCAGGATTTCCTTTTTGGTCAGGCTCCAGTCCGGGATTAGGAACACAAAGGACCTCGGGAGCCCGTCTCCTCTCTTCCTTATCTTCTGATCTCTCTCTGCCTCCTTTGTCCTCCGGTTTGGTTGGCTCCTTGCCCTTGCAAGGTCGACTCCCTCAGGTCTCTCTCTCTATCTCTCTCTCTCTCTCTCTTTCGCCTCCTTCCCGGATCCGCCCAGCCGGGAATTCGGATCCCTACCGAAACAACAAACCCCCGCCCCTGGAGAGACTTGGAAATCTAGGACCATGCAGTACCAGTTTGGATACCCGACGCCGCCAGCATCGCCATCGCCGTTCGAGACCCTGAAGTGCGCACAACAACCACAGCAGTCGGCCCCGATCCAGCCCCGATATGTCCAGCCTGCTCCCGAGGACAGGTTAGGCAGGTTCCTTGCCGGCACTCTCCAGCTGACGGGGATCCTGGGAACGGGCGCGTACGGTGTCGTCTACTCGGCTGTCGATATCAAGACTCACGTCAGGTACGCGGTCAAGACGCTCAGCAAGTACAACGCCGATGGCACCCCCCTGGACCGGAGACAGGTTGCCTTCCAGACTCGGGAGATCCGCCTGCACTGGCTGGCGTCGGCGCATCCCAACGTGGTCTCGATGCTCAAAATCATCGACGACCCCGACTGCACCTACGTTATCCTGGAGTACTGCCCCGAAGGTGATCTGTTCTACAACATCACCGAGTGCGGGCAGTACGTTGGTAAGGATGCGCTGGCCAAGCAGGTCTTCCTCCAGATCCTGGAAGCCGTGGAGCACTGCCATTCCCAGGGGATCTACCACCGGGACCTCAAGCCTGAGAACATTCTGGTGTCCAACCAGGGCGAGACTGTCAAGCTCGCCGACTTTGGCCTTGCCACGTCTTCAGACAGGTCCGAGGACTACGGTTGCGGTTCCACTTTTTACATGTCTCCTGGTAAGTTTTCATCCTTCAAAGCGACGCCGACTTCTCCGACGACCGGTTTTTCTCCAGGAATTGCCTCTCCGCCGTCGACCCGTTCGCTCCTCTTTGCCTGCCCCCATCCCCAAGCACCTCCCAACTAATACTCCCTTTTTTCTTTCTCTCTTCAGAGTGTCTAGACCACACCACCAGGAGGCCCTACTACTACTGCGCCCCCAACGACGTCTGGAGCTTGGGTGTCATCCTAGTCAACCTGACCTGTGGCCGCAACCCCTGGAAGCAGGCCTCGTTCGAGGACTCGACCTACCGGGCCTTCACCAGGAGCAAGGGCTTTCTCAAGACCATCCTCCCCATCTCTGATGAGCTCAACGAGATTCTGGCTGCCATCTTTACCAGGAACCCCGACGAGAGGATAACCCTGCCCGCTCTCAAGGCCCGCATCCTCGCCTGCAACCGCTTCACCGAGCAGCCCCAACAGGTCTCGGCCCCGGCCGCCGCGGCAAGCCCAGTCTCGCCGCCCGCTTCGCCCGAGTCTTACGTTTCCGACTACGAGGACGCCATCGTCGACGACGACGACGACGAGGACTTCGAGTACGACGACGCCCCTCTCTCGCCCGCCTCCTCCGACGACTCGCTTTCGGACGCATCCTCCGACGATGGCTCCATGACCTCGAGCTGCTCGAGCCTCGAGGAGCTCGAGGAGGATGACGACCTCTGCCCCGAGCCCCGCGGAGCCGTGACGCCGCCTCCCCAGCCCGAGATCTGTGCCGCCATCTACGACGCCGAGGCTCAGCACCACGTCGGCTTCCCGTCCGAGTACCTCCACCACCAGTCGTCCTTCCACCACCAGTTCCCCCAGGAGCAGCCCGTGCCGGTGCAGCCGCACATGAACATGGGTTTCCACATGGCGCAGCCGCAACAGCAGCTCTTTGGCCCCAAGGTGGCCCCGCAGCCACCTGCCCCCTACCTCCACCAGCACCAACTCCCCTACATCCTGGATGTCATGTACAAGTTCGCGCACCCCGGCCAGCACCAGGTACCCCAACCAGTCATGCACCATCCCCATCCGGCTCCCTTCCACCAACACCCCCACCACGCTCAGGTCCCTATGTTTGCCTGCTACTAAAGCATTATGGCATCTCTAAACTACGTTATCCGACACTCCCATCTCCAGATGGTCTCGGGAACCCAGGGCGTCTCCATGACGTGTCTCTAACCGGTTGCGCCCGCTTGGTCTCTCTTGGCCGTGGATGGAGCTGCCTCGGAACCATGCCGGATGAGGACGGCCGCCGCCGCCGTCGTCGTTCTACAAAACCGTGGACTCCAGTTCTTAATACAAACTGGGCCCACACCCCAACGTTTTCTTCGCCTTGGTATCCGGAGCCATCCGGGTGCCAGCGAAACCCATCCACATCCCCTCACTGCGTCCGCGCACAGGGAACCTTTCCAGCTGGAGATATTCCCATGGAAAGGATCCATCTCTACAATGGACAACACCAAAAGCCAATAAAAAAAAGCCGGTACTTTTTCTTGATCTTTCCTTTTTTCAGTCTTTATTCTTTTATACCCCAAACAACTCCAACACTACTCATACTGTATTTAATTCCAGCCTGGACACGACTACGACGGAAGGACCGCTTTCTTTTCTTTATCATCACATCTCGTTTATTTTCCCTTTGTTACGACATCTACTTCCAGGGGCACTGGCGCCGAGTTCCCAAAGGAGCGGACAACCAAACAAGCCATGGAGACGAAAGCTGTTTTGATTTTTTCCATGACGGCGCAGGACAGGGGGCGGGCTTCAAAGATAAAGCTTGAAGTTTTTTTTCTCTTGATTTTTTGGTTACTTGGTCAAGTCGGCTTTTTGCTTTTTGGGCTTCCTCCGGAAGAACCGGTTGGGCGGTATTCGTTTTATTCACATTTACTTTGTTTTTCTCTCGCTTTCCACGCGGACCCTGACCACAGGTTCGAGGGAAATCCGGAGCTCGGGAGGGAAGGGTTCCCGCAAGACACACTTTCTTGGTGATACCACTTCATTTTTTATCCCCTTTATTTTTTATCCCACTTCTCTGTACACCCTCCGCCATCTTGGGGCCAAGAGGTTTGATTTGGGCAGCACGCGCGTTTGCAGTTTTGCGACTTGGGGAAACATGGGATCACGAAAGAACAAAGCCAAGCGAATATTTGGTTTCTTAGACATTGACGCGGGTCAAACCCAAACACAGGGCGCAACATCCTCTACCAGGATCTGAGAAGATATTCAGCCATATGACCATATCTGGTACTGAGGCGCCGAGAAAGAACGAAGCAAAAAAAAAAGCCACAAAAACCAAAAAAAAAAATAATAAA